CTATGTGTTTGACAGCTAGTTCCACACACCAGGCACATGTACTCAGACAGCTCTAGGTCAGGCTGGAAAAGTGAACCCCACGGGAGAGGTTATACAGGTAAAAGAGCCCTCGAGAAACTCCGCTGCTGCATGCGGTACCAACCACATTGTGGGGCAGTATGAGCAGAGGCCAGACAGGTAAGTTCTGCTTTCAGAGTGAGAATGTTGCCATACCTGCACCTGTATCACCTGATAAAATGTGACTTTACACAGCACATCATAAAGCAGTCCTAGGCTAGGAGAAACAGTCTCTTGCCACCTCCTATTGCAGTAGGATCTATTCAGACACCACCTGTGTATGAGCATCAGGTGGAAGCACAGAAGGAGCAGATCGGTGTCTGCACAGACTGGTCTGAATGCACCACCTGGAAACCAAGTGCTCTTGAATCCTTTGCTTCACTGCAGCTCACCTCCATCCACAAAAAACATAGGCCTTTGTATACAAACCATTCCCCTACCACAGAATAAGTGGAGGAAATATCATTTGTATGAGGTGCTGCTGCTGTTCAGTCTAGGCTTTCTAAGATAAGAGCTGAAACTTTTTTTCCTGTATTTAATCCTGTATTTTGCCACTCTGGTACTAAAATCTGTAGATACAAGTCTAGATCAGTGATGATCATAGTTTGATTCCAGCATTTCTGAGCCTGGGGTACGAGGAAGCATTTCACCCTGGGAAGCATGATCTCCATGTCCAGAGATCCCAAACTCTTATTGCTTGATCATCAGCTACCTTCTCTGCACGAGTTCATTTTCCACATTGCCCACACACTGCAGGATGCTATAAAGGTGCAGCTTTGTAGCGATGTCAGCAGCAGCACAGTTAGGCTTAAAAAGTTACATTACACTGATGTAGGTACACGGCTCAAATCTTGTCTATTGGCACTGCTGGAAGGGAGTAGACATTTAGCTCATGCAGACATTTGCACCAAATGCAAGTGTAGCTGGGCATTTGAAGAAAAGAGAGCTCTGCAAATCAGATCAGACTTTTTTAAAGTGGATCATTTCCAGCTGCCCTAAATCACGGCATGTCTACCAGTTAATCCCAGTAAGATTTATAACCCTGAACCAAAAGTGAGATGTCAAATTTCTGAAAGTGGCATCAGAAAGGCTGTGAGACCACTTGGTCCTTCTGGAGTTTGTAGCATTGATGTTCAAGTTGCAGTCCTAGCTGCACTTTCTTCAGGATCTGGCATAATCTTACAAGAAACTAGCATCTTCTAGGAAGAGTCCTGCTTTTCCCTATAGGATGATCCAGAAGTAATGGAGCCTAAATTCCTCCTGCCTTCCTGTTCCCTGACCTCTAGTGTTCAGTTCACTTGGGAAATGCTCACTTTTTCTGCAAAAGCTTCACTATATTTAATACTGTTACAGTTACCAGGAGAAGAAAGGAAGTTGTTTAGCTATGATAAGAGCTCATAGTCTGTCTGCAAAAATTTCTAACACTGGCACAGACTGGTGAAATACAAGGATCCCACTTTGGTTTTGATCCTATTTCCGGTCTCTAAGGCTGATAGTTTTTTTTTTTTTTTTAAAAAAGGGGGGGGAAAAAGAAAAAAACCACACATATACACACACACAGAAACATATTTTTTACCTGAAAATTCAACAATCTTGATGTGGAGTACTTGATCTGGAGTGAGTTTACTGCTCTTGCAGACTTGCTCATTCAGTGTGGCTGGACATCCTCGCAGCCGTTTGGCCCATGCTGTGCTGTGGCTGGGTAATGTCTACACCAGCCCAAGGGACTGAAAAGGGCCCTGCCAGGTCCTTTAGCAGAGTCTATGTTAGGGTAGCCTCAACTGGAGGCAACTGAGACTAGCAAGATGCTCAGAAAGACAATAGGCTCAAGAAACTGAGTGGGTTATTATTATTACCAATATAATTATTATAATAATTACCATTATGTTAGTCCACATAGGAATGCAATAGTTCTTGTCTTCAGTGCTCCTCACTGTTTCATTGCACCGCTCAACTCTGCTAGCAACTCCCTTAGCGATTAGAGTATCTACTCCCATATTAGCAAATACAGATGGGATTCACCTGCCTCCCTCTGATGTTTAAAGGACCTGGCTCCCCATGGCTCACTCTCTTGCTAGCGTGGTGGTGGAGGTGCTAGGACCCATCTAACGAACACCCATTTAGAGGTTCCAGTTTCTACCCAGTGACTCTACATAGAATTGAAGGATGTTACGTCCGAATTAAATATTTTCTTAATTCGGATGTCCAAATCAAATATCTTACTTCTAGCTATGTAAAGTTAGATGAGACTAACCCTGCCATGTCTCTCACCATGGAGACTTTCTATGGCCTATAGACTTCAGATTCATTTCTAGTCCACTGTGACACTGACAGTGAAATCTTTACCATGGTTTGGAGAACACACTATACAGTGATTTTATAGACTTAAATGCCAGGCAGTGATGCATTGCCCAGTGGAGTGTCATCTAAGAATCATAAATCACAATCTTGCAGAAGCTTGTGGATGTCAGACATGTGAATATGCTGATTTGGTATCCATGGTAGTTTGGCATGTCTCACATCTTTGTCTTCTTCCCAAAATAGATTAGCTCTCAAACATTACTCAGCACTTGGAGTCCTGCCACAGCACAAAACACAGTTGAGAAAACACTGAAAATGTGTCTCCCAGTGCAAAGAAATATTGAGATAAACTTCATCAGCTTTGTTCAAACTAAAATAGAACCCCCGTCTATGGCAGTATAACCAACAAGGCCGGACAAAGCTTTTTGGCCAACGGTAATTGAGGCAGCGACTTTACCTCATGCCCTGGATCTCAACTGGGATGAAATCTAAGCACGGAGCTGCTCAGCTACGGATCGGAATTGTTCATCTCTCCCATCTACAAGCACCACCGTGCTGCCAGGTTGAAGGGAGCATAGGAAATCTCTCTGGGGTACTTACAGAAATAGTCAAATGATACAGGGCACAAGACTATTGACAGAGCTCCTAAGTCACTGGTACATCCAAAGTCCTTCAGTGCACAAATAGGTAATACAATTGTATCATGGACAAACATAAATCTACACATTGACACAAGCAAATATGGTGGTTTGCCTGTACAGTGTGTGCACACATTAATCAGTTGCATCAGTCATGTGGGGCTTGTGAAATTATCATTAAGAATTTAAACATTAATGTCATTGTGGTACTGTTTAATTGGGATGTGAACTTATCAGTAGTTTAAAACTAAATTTAAAGGTGAATCTGTTATTTTAACTTCAGAAACAGCCAAGACATTTCACTTTCTTCCAATTGGAAAAGCTTTGTATTTGGGAAGCGCCACCCTATCTGGTGACTGCCATGAGAGGTGGTAGATAAGCAGTTTGGACTTCTGCTTTACATTCTCCCATCCTCTTAATGATGGGGAATGTGCTGTGTGGGACTCCCAGCAAAGCAAGTGGGAGATATGTCCCACAAGTCCATCTGTGGAAAAACAGAGCCCCTGTTAAAGAAGAAAAATTGAAGAAGAAAAACAGAATTTATTTTTATCTGAGAAGGAATTGGTAAAAGTGTATCATACAGTAAACTGCTTAAAGGGCAACTAAAAGGTCTGAGACAAAAAAGCAGATTGTAAAGCCCTGCTCCCTTACCCATGTGTTCCTTGAAGGCTATCAGGACACATCACTCTGTAGACCATGTCTCAGCTGGGGCAGAATTACTATCTCCCTCTTAACACACTGTTGGGCCTAAGGTGATACAGCATGACTGTAAAACCCCTTTTTTGTTGGGGAGGAGAAGGAGACCTTGTGTGAAACGCCATCCAAGAGTGCTTCCTTGACCCATTTTAGTTCCCAGCCCGCCTGAAGGTTCATGGTGGTTTCCTCTGCTCTCCTTCCACCATTGCTGTGCCAGGCTGTAATTGCAGGGTATGGCATTACAAGTCCCACGGGTGCTGCCTCAGCCTTAGTAAACTTTATTTAAGCACACACAGACATACACAGACAATATACATATATATATATATATATTTCTTCTCTGACAGTTCTACAGGACCGACACTGCTTTGGATGACACATTTGGAGAATTTGAGAAAGTGCAGAAAATATACGGGGAAAAAAAAAAAAGGTCTTTTAATAACTTGCGAGTCATGGTCATCCACAGAAACAACACAGGTGCATTCGACCAGGCGGGCACATGGACACATCTCCACATACAGTACATTGTGTCTATATACGTATCTCCACATACATTGGGTCTATATAAATATACAACAGTCTTATAAGTCAGC